TTTTTTTTTTTTTGCAACACCAGGGATTGAACTTGGGACCTTGTGCTTGCCAGGCAGGCACTTAAGCCACTGCACTATTTCTCTGGCCCCAAGAAGGGAGGTCAGACTGAGAATTGTTTTGTTTGGTGGAACTGGGGATTGAACTCAGGTCCTTGTGCTTGCCAAGGAAGCGCTTATTCCACCAAGCCATCTCCCCGGCCCCAACTTTGTTTTTCTTAATGTATTTTAGTACAAGGACTACAGGGTCCCCCTACACAAATCGGACTCAGTAATCCTTGCATGGCTCCTCCTGCCTCAGCTTCCCATGTGCACAGCTGTGGATGTGTACCACCACATCCAGCTTAGAAAGTAATAACTTTTTTTGCGGGGGGGGGGGGGGGGGGGTTGCCGGGGATCAAACTCAGGACCTCATACTTGTGAGGCAGGCATTTATGTTACTGAGCTATCTCCCCAACCCTAGTAATAACTTTTTATACTGTTGGTTTTGTGGTTATTTTTAAATTCATAACATTTTTTTCTTCCAGTCTCTGATTCTAAAAAGCAAAACCAAATTGATTACAGAAAATACAGCTGCGTTAGAATACAGTCGAGGGCCAGCGAGATAGCTCAGTAGACTAAGCACCTGCATAGGCAAGCATAGGGTCTGGGTTTGATCCCCAGCACCACATTTTGCCCCCAGCCAACCCCCACCATATCCCCCTCAGCCAATGACTGAGTTCAATATCAGCAATTTCCTGGCCTTTTGGCTTTTTCTCCCAGGACAGCCAGCGTGGCTTTGCCTTTGTTGAAGTCTGGCCCTACCCTGGTATGGCCAGCAGTGGGTGCCAAAGTCCCTGGTTTCACTCCAGAAGCATCATTTCAGTGAAAATTCCAGAAGCATGCATTGTGGTCTCTCGCCAGCAGAGGGCGGCTGGGGCAGTAGGAAAGAAGCCTAAGTTTCAGCCCTCTGAATGCGATTCCAGGTTCATTTTTCTTTGTTCAACATGGAGATCATCTTACTTTTGCCCTTTTTCTCTTGTCTTTCAGCTGCCCTAATAGTAAATTTAAGCCTCAGAATTCTCATTTAAAATGACTTCTAAGGGCCAGGGAAATAGCTCAAAAGAATAAGCACTTGCCTGGCAAGCGCAGGGTCCTGAGTTCAATCCCCAGTACCACAAAAGAAATAAATAAATTTTAAAAATAAACAAAATGACTTCTGTATTAATTTTCTCTGCCCTGAAGAAAGCTTAAATGTTAGGAAGGCCATAGAAGCCTTGTTTTCCTAAAGTCACAGGAATTTGTTCCAAGTACTACCAATGAGCTGTGTAAGGACAAGTACCACAACATGCACTTTTGCTTCACCAGTAATTCAGGACGTGCTAGAACTTGTCACATTTGCTGACACCAGCCCCACTGTTTTCCAGGAAAGTTCGAGATCCTCGGGCCAACTTTGACCAGTCTCTGCGTGTGCTCAGGCACGCCAAGGAGGTCCAGCCGGCTGTTATTTCAAAAACATCAATAATGTTGGGTTTGGGCGAGAATGATGAGCAAGTATATGCGACGTTGAAAGGTAAAGAAACTAAGAGGGAAAAAACGTTTGACTTTCATTGGAGGCCTAGCATTAGCCCCATGTGGAAAGCCCTGTGCGATTTGTGCCTGTGGGCTGGGAGCTCAGGCCTGGGCATGGCTTGCTGGCGTGAGGGAGCCCCTGGGCTTGATTGCCAGTACCAAATAAGTATATGGTCTTAAATTCAACATGAGAGGCCAGTGTGCTTTCCTACAGCTGCATGGAGTGACATGAAGCTCAGGACAGGGCATCTGTGTTCCATTTTGGGGAGTTGAGCTCTGGAGATTAAACATTATCCATGCTAGGCTGTGTGACTAAGTTATATCCCCAACCCTTTTTTAAAATTTTGAGACTAGATGAATTCTTGCTGAGTTGCCCAGGCAGGACTAGAATTACCAGCCCTCTCTGCTTGGTCTCCCCAGTGCTGAGGTCACGGTGCGCACTACACCTCTCAGCCCTCAGTCTTGCACGTGCTAGGCAGACAGCTACCACTGAGCTACATCGCTGCCCTGGCCACCAACTTTGCCTGCTTCTGTCTCGGCCTCCTGAGTAGCTGGGATTCCAGCATCCACCACCACACCTGGCTGAAGTTTGTATCCCACTCTTCTGTAGCCAATGAAAAGCTGTTTGATCCACTCCTATTTCTCACTTGAAGCCCCAGTGGTGCAGTCGGTTAGCGCACGGTACTTATATTTCTCTCACTCTCTGGTCTGCTTTCTCTTAATTTTTCATAAATAAAAAGCAACTGAACCCAAGGTACTCACACTGAAATATATCCTCAAGCCTTTCTATTTTTTATTTTGATACAAGGACTTGCTGAATTGCTAAGCTGCCCAGTCTGGGCTTGCATTTTCAGTCCTTCTGCTTTAGCCCCAGAGTACTGAGATTCCAGGCGTATGCCACGGGGCCCAGCTCGCGCATCTTGCTCACTGGACAGTTGTTTTGAGAGCCAGCCAGGTATCAGGCATTGATAATTTACACATGACTAAAACCAATCCAGGCCTTTGAGGAGCACTTATATGCAGACTTTGGTGTATCCTGGAGTGCTTTGGGCTTCGCTGAACCTCCTTCCCATTTGCTTTGGGATTCTTGGCCCTTTCTTTTTGTTTTCTTTTTCTTTCTTGGTACCAGAAATTCAACTACATTGATTCGATGAGCCATATTCGATGAGCTAAGCTATATCCCTAGCCTTTCATTTTGGTTTTTGAGAGATGGTCTTACTATGTATCCCAGGCTGGCCTCAAACTCACAGTGGTCCTCCTGCCTCAGCCTCCCAAGTGCTGGGATTACAGACCTGCGCTGCCACACCTGGTCTCATCTTTATCTTATTAAACTTTGAAATATAAAAGTTTTTATTTTCTTTAAGGGCCTTTGGCCCACTTATAGTCATTAGTAGTTCAAAAAAGCAATAAGTTCAAATGGTTAGTTAAAAGCTCCTCTTTACTACAATGGACGTGGTTCTTGGGAAGATTCTGATATGCCAGGAGTTGAATCTCTTCTTGGGAGCCTACCTCATTCACCAAGTAAGAACCTAACACAGCAGCCTTGGCCTGTGGTGTGGTGTTTTTAGGCATTCCCATGCTATTCCTCTCACCTTCCCCACCAGACAGGCCCCTGCTTCATCACTATGCCTCCTGCCCCAGCCCTGGGCCATGGGCTCAAGGCAGTGTCCTTACTATGACTCCGCCATGCTTGTGTTAATCATTCCTGCGTATTCCATCCTTGTCTTAGGCTCTGGCATGGAAATAGCTTTGAAAGACTAGTCTAATCTTCCATCATGGGGATTGTAGACCAGCATGTCCACCTGAGGAAGCACTCCTTGGGAAAATGATACTTGCATCTGTACCTACTAATAGACTTTTTGCTTATTTTCCTTCAGCACTTCGTGAAGCAGATGTGGATTGTTTAACTTTAGGGCAATATATGCAGCCCACAAAACGCCACCTTAAGGTACAGAGATCTTTTTTTTTTTGGTACCAGGAATTGAACACAGGACCTTGAGCTTGCCAGACAGGCACTGTGCCACTGAGCTATATCCCCTGGCCCAACGTATAGGGATCTTGCGTTGCCAAATGTTTCTTGGTAATTTGAATTATATATTCATCATAGTATAGTGTTCCATGTATATCTGTGAGTTTCAGTTGCCATTGTGTGATCTGCATAAAGTGGCTACCCTGGCACTCATTTGCTGCTATGAAATTGTATAACTCGAGTGCGCTGACAGAAAAAGGGTGGACACACAGGGGAATTGCACAGAGTGACACTTGCAGATCCTGTGACTTGTTTGAGTCATGTGCGGAGCCAGAGCGGGTATAAGAGAAGGCAGTATGGCTGTTTCTAGCAGCTGGTGTTGGAGAGTGGCCCTGTGGCAGTCAGAATCTGTGTAGGAGTCATGGGTGCCAACTAATTCTGGACTCTACGTGTTAATCAGTGCAGGAAAATACTGCTAATTCCCCCTAGAGATAATCCCATCTTTGTCCCTGGATGCCTGGCAGAGCACGAGGTTGCTGCGTCCCCTTGACTCCTGCCAGCTGTGATCCAATTGATGCCTAGCCAGGGTGGGGGAGGGCGGGGCGAGACGTCAGTGAGCATCGCTTCGACAGGGTTGGAATCACTTAGGGCAGTCTGGAATATGACCTGAAGTGATGCTTTAAACCTAGGTTGAAGAATACGTTACACCCGAAAAGTTTAAATACTGGGAAAAAGTAGGAAATGAACTTGGATTTCATTACACCGCCAGTGGCCCCCTGGTGCGTTCTTCATATAAAGCAGGTGAGCTAGCCGCAGGCGTTGTGTTGGGTTCTTGGCTTTGCTTCCTGTTCAGAGCCTCGGAGGTATACTTGTGCCTCAGGAGGTATGCAGCTCTGCGAACACGCACTGTGGGAATGATACACTTTCCAGGTTCAGCTCCACCCAGGTCACCATGAGCCGATCGGAACAGCTGAGGCAATCTTTTGTCAGAGAAGTTTTGGCTGTTTGCCGGAGAGGCCCATGGTGCTTTCTCCCAGGCCAAGTGCCTCTCATCTTATGCCTCTCCCCCTTGTATCCCCCCTTGTGCCCACATACACTTGCTGTGCCAGCCCATGAGGAAAGCAGGGACCTTCAATGACTGCAGCACTATTGGCGGGTATTGGCCGTAGATCATGCAGAAACCGCAAAGCCTGTCGCGCATGTAATAAGGTTTTCTGGGAAATGTGTGTCATTTGCCAGTGGTACCAGCTGCACATCGAGACTCCCAGTTTGAGATCAATTTAAGCATGGAAATTTGATAGCATTGTTATTCACACTGTTAATTTCTTTGTATTTTTCCCCTTAAAGGAAACAGAAAAAAATAGCTGCAGTACAGTTTTTTAATTCTGAAATTCAGCTCATTTTGATTGGTTGCTCACCCTGATTTACGAAAATAAAATCATTTTTCCAAGGGATAAAAGTTGATAGTGACCACCAGAAAGTCCATGAGAATATATATGGAGACTGGATTGATTGATTGATAGGTCTTTTTGAATCAGGGTTTCACTATGGTTCAGATTGCCTTTGAGCTCACATTGTAGCCCAGGGTAGGCTCAAACTTGCAGGGATCCTCCTCCCTGAGCTTTCTGGGTCCTGGGATTACAGACTGAACATAATCTAAAAAAATGTGGATTTTTTTCCCCGTCAGTTGGATTTGCCGATTATAGTAAAGAATAAAGTGGACCAGTGAGATAGCTCAGCGGACTAAGCGCCTGCATAGGCAAGCACAGGGACTGGGGGTTCGATCCCCAGAACCACATGCCACATTTGCTCCACCCCCAGGGTGCACTGAGCTGGCCACAGAGTCCTGGCGTAGTGGCACACATCTGTAATCCCAGCATTGGGGAGGTTAAAAATAGGAGGATCACTAGGAGTCTGAGCTGCATAGTGAAACTTTGTACCAAGTACATTAAAAAAAAATTTTTTTTGGTCTTTTTGGCTATCTCTAAAATGCGTGGCTTTTATTGCAGCATTGGGTACTGAGCCCAGGGCCCTCTCACTGAACTAGATCCTCAGCCCTCTGTTTTGAGACAGGGTCTCACTAAAGTCACTTAAATTGCATACGCTGGCAGCTGGTGAGATAGCTTAGTGGTCTAAAGCACCTGCTTAGGCAGGTTTAGGCAAGTCTAAGGACTGCAGTTTGATCCTTGGCACCACGTGCCACGCCAACCCTGCCCCCAGAGAACGCTGAGCTGGCCACAAAAAAAATAAATAAATAAAATAAATTGCATAGACTGGGCTCTAACTTTATCCTCCTGCTTCAGCCTCCAAGCATGATTATAGGTGTGTGCCACCAGACCTGGCTGATATTATTGATGAATGATTTCTTATATATTGGAGTCTAAATCACAGATGTTTAAATTAGACATGAGTTATATTTGAAAAATATGTTCAAGTATTAGTAATACTGTGTTCCTATAAAGAAATTTAAGCCAGATATGGTGGTCTGTGCCTGTAATCCCAGTGCTCAGAAGGCTGAAGCAGGAGGATTGCCATGAGTTCAAGGCCAGCCTGGCCTATGTAATGACCGCAAGGCCAGCTTGAACTACAACGGGAGACCCTGTCTCGGGAAAAAAAAATTTTAGACATTATTTATGCTAGTTATGAAACCCACGAATGTGATTCAATGCTGGCTGCCACAAGCAGTAATTACAGGTGAATTAGTCCTCAAGCAGGGCTCCCAGGGACCTGAAAGCAAGGGGAGAGCCAATATCAGCTTTAGAGAGGCTGATAGAGTAATTGCATTGGAAAGAAGCTTGCTTTTTTTTTTTTTTTTTTTTGGCGGAACCGGGGATTGAACTCAGACCCTTGTGCTTGCTGGGGAAGCACTTAATTCCACTGAGCCATCTCCCCGGTCCCCCAGAAAGAAGCTTTTTTAAGGAAAAATTTCTAACATATAAAAGAAAGTGAATTATGCATTTTTTTTAATGCTTTTTAAAAATCACTAGTAACATGCTTGCTTCAGCAGCACATATACTAAAAATCACCAGTAAGCCCAGCAAGCACAAGATCCTGAGTGTGATCCCTGGTACTACAAAAGAAAAAAAAAAGGAGAAGAAGAAAAATCACCAGTAAATAAATGAATAAATAAATGAATCAAATTACCATAAAAGGGGTTAGCCAAATAGCTCAGCAGATTAAAACGCCTGCTAGGCAGATGCAGGGGCTGGGAGTTCAATCCCCAGGCCTGCCATGCCAGCCCCGCTCCTGGGACACGCTGAGACAGTGATTAAGACTGGGTTTGGTGGGCTGGTGGGATGGCTCAGTGGTCTAAAGCACCTACTTAGAACAAGCTTGGCAAAGCACAGGGACCGCGGTTCAATCCCCCAGCACCACATGCCAGCCAGCCCCACCCCCTGGTGGGCTGAGCTGGACACACACACACACACACACACACACACACACACACACAAATAAATTAATTAATTAATTAAAAAAAAAAAAAAAAGACTGGGTTTGGTGGTGTGCGCCTGTAATCCCAGCACTTGGGAGGCTGTAAACAGGATCACTATGAGTCCATTCTATGCAGTGAGACCCTGTACACCCTGTCCTAAATACAAAAAAAAAAAAAAAAAAAAAAGAAAGAAAGAAACATTACCATAAAAGATTGGAATTCTGCCTGGAGCCTTAGGCAGAGATGGGGGCTCGAGTTCTGCTCCAGTGACTCTTGGCCAGGGAAGAGCTGCGCAGCTCTGTGTCCTGGGACTCTTGGCCACTGTGTTGGGATGCAGTCACTGCAGTTCCCCGTGTGGGAGCTGACAGCCAGACAGGTCTGCGCTCAGCATTGAGCTGGGCTCAGACTTCCTGAGGTCCTCGGATGCCCTGTGTCTTTTGGGGAGGGGCCCAGCGGAGCCGTTAACAGAGTTTGAAAATGCAGATGCAGGTAGTCTGGCAGCTGAATTGCTCTCTGAGATGGCTTCTGCCAACAGCCAGACTCCTCGATGAGGAAGAATAAATTGTATGCATAGAGTGGGAAATCCGCAGAGGCAGCCTCAAAGCTAAAGTAGGGTCCTGTTCTCCCGTGTAGTGTGTTACAGGGAATAATAGCTGAGGCCACAGTGATAAAATTTTTAGAAAAATACTGTTTGAGATTGAGGAATAGGAGGGAGGTGATGTAGCTCAGGGGAATAGTACCTGCCTGGTAGGTACAAGGTCCTGAGTTTGTTTATGGTACTGAGAGAAGCACAATTCTGAAATAGTAGCACAGTTATTTACTTTAAACTTATTATTTTCTTTTTTTTTAAATTTTTTTAATTTTATTTATGTGTGTGTGTGTGTGTGTGTGGCCAGCTCAGCCCACCAGGGGTGGGGCTGGCTGGCATGTGGTGCTGGGGGATTGAACCATGGTCCCTGTACTTTGCTAAGCTTGTTCTAAGTAGGTGCTTTAGACCGCTGAGCCATCTCACCAGCCCCTAAACTTATTATTTTCATTTTTCCCAAATAGGTGAATTTTTCCTGAAAAATCTAGTGGCTAAAAGAAAAACAAAATTTCCCTAAAACAGACCAGATCTTCAGGAGCACAGGAGGTTGGACACTGCTATCAGCTGGTTTGGCGATTCCAGGATGGCGGGAAAGGGGTGCTCCTGTTTGTTTGTGCTAAGAGAAATGTCAGTACACTCTATGTATTTAATTAGTCATTCATATGACATTCTTTATCTAATAAATAATCGCCTATTATGTAAACATGCAGCATTTTTGTAAGAGTTTATCATTAGCATGATTAATTGCAAGTTAACATTTAAACTTCCAGGAGATTTTGCAAGTCCCTATTACCTGTGTATAAATGTCACGTTTCCTTTATGAGGATAAAAATATGCCAAGGGTGGTAGCATACCTATAATCCCAGCCCTTGGGAGGCTGAGGCATCAGGATTGTTGCAAGTTTGAGACCAGCCAGGGCTACAAAGTGAGCTCAAGGCCAGCTTAAACTGCATAACAAGACTTTGTCTCAAAAAGACTACTAAAGCGCCTACTCAGGCAGAGCGCAGTGATCCCTGGCTTGCTGTGCCAGCCCTGGGGCATGCTGAGACAGCGATTGAGTCTGGTCTACCTAGTGAAACCCTGTACTAAATACATTTTATTTTTTTAAAATTTTATTTATTTATGTGTGTGTGTGTGTGTGTGTGTGTGTGTCTGTGTCTGTGTGGCCAGCTCAGCCCACCAGGGGGCAGGGCTGGCTGGCATGTGGTGCTGGGGGATCGAACCGCCGTCCCTGTGATTTGCTAAGCTTGTTCTAAGTAGGTGCTTTAGACCACTGAGCCATCTCACCAGCCCTCCAATTTAAATGAGAGAAAAGCAGGAAATGATTAGAAAGTCGAAAGTAGCCTTGTTTACATTTATGCTGTACTTAGTATTGTGTAGCTGACCAACAGCTGGCCATTATCCCTAGGCCACAGGCGCTGAGCAGCAGCCCAAGTTGCCCTGTGCCACAGCCCTGCACCCTTCCATGAGGTAACAAGCAGCCACAGTGGAGTCCTTGCCATGTGTTCCAGAAGGATTTTTTTTTTTTTTTTTTCTCTTTTTTTTGGTGGGGAGGAGGCTAGCTCAGAGTGCCTTAAGGGCAGGTCTGGTGTGGCTTGTGGAGGTGGAGATTGAACCTTGGTCCCTTGCACCTAAGTTTGCCCATGCAGGTGCTTTAAAACAACTGAACTAATGCACAAGCCCCCTCGCCATGTATTCCAGGTTGGCCTCGAACTGATTTTTCTGCCCCAGCTTCCCCAATGCTGGAATCTTGGCCGTGTGCTGACACCCCAAACTGCAATTTTAGAGGGCCAGGACAGTGATTGTGCATGTGCAAGAAGTCTGTGTAGAAATCCAGAGCCCAGCATGGTGGCTTACGTTGATAATCCTAGCACTCTGGAGGCTGAGTCAGGAAGATCACAAGTTTGAACCCAGCCTGGGCAACTTGGACCCTGTTTCAAAAAAAAAAGGAAAAGGAGCTGGAGATATAGCTCAGTAAGAAGGCTCTGTGTTGTCTTCAGAACTGGGGGGGAAATTAGCACAGGTTACTACTGCAGCAGTGGTTCTCCGTATTAAAATTGAGTAGCTGGTATATTTCAGCATGTACTGTCCTCTGTACAGAATGGTGGCATTTGTGTTTAAAGATGAAAGCAGGGGCTGGGGAGATGGCTCAGTAGAATAAGCACTTGCCTGGCAAGCGCAAGGGCCTGAGTTCAATCCCTGGTTCTGAAAAAAAAAAAAAGATGAAAGCAATAGATCCGCGTGGTTTTCTGAAACTGACAGTATTCATTGCTGAAGTCTCCCCTAATTTATTCCTTTTTTAGAGAAGAGCACATCTCGCTGTGCTGCTTCTGTGAGAGTGCGTGTGTGGATGTGTGGTTGTGTGGTCCTGGGGCCCAGTCCAGGGCCTTTGCCCCCCCACTTCTCATGGGGGTGGGAAACACTGTCACACTGAATTGCCCAGGCTGGGTTCAGACTTGCAATCCTCCTGCCTCAGCCTGCAACAATACTGGAATGGCAGATGGATGCCTTAGCGCCTGGCCCTTGGGACCTTTTTTCCTAGTCCTTGGGCTCAGAGGGGATTAGGGGAGTCAGGCTGCTTGGCAAGTGGCTTCTTGATGGCTGAGCTCTGGGTCTATGCTGCCCCTGCTGTGTCATTGTCCCCCTGAGGGAACAGGTACACATGTGTGCTCAGCATCCATGCTGACCAAGAATCCTACGTGTTTGTTGCCTTTTATTAAGACAAGTGTCTAAATTGCTCAATTGCCCAGGTTGGGCTCAAACTTGAAGTCTTCCTGCCTCAGCCTCCCAGAGTGCTGGGATTATAGGTATGCTCCTATACCTATAATAGGAGCACCTGGACCTGTTGTCTTTTAAATAATAGCTTTGGGGAGTTTTGGCCTCATATTATACTGTCACACACACACACCTATTTGAATCAGTCATTTGCAGGGATGGGGAAGCACCTCTATGCAGATGCTTGGGTACAACTGAAATCACTACAGGAAACAGGAAACACTGATGTTTCCCTCTATACCTGTACATTTTGCCTGCCTTTAGGCTTGGTCACTAATCTTAGTAAAACTAACATCCCTGGCAATTGCCTAGCTTTTGGATAATAATTAAAATGTCACTATGTTTTTTTAACTCCAGTCATTCATGTAGACCCTGCATAATTTTTTATTTGGATGATAACTATAGTATATATTCTTTTTCCTTTTTTTATGTATTTGGTACAGTATCTATAGGGTATCTATGTAGATCAGCCTCAGTGATTCTGTTTTCAGCCTCCCAAGTGCTGAGATTATAGGCACAAGCCACCAAGCCCAGTCTATCCCCTCTCAGTGTGCCCTGGGGCCAGGGCCGGCACACCAGGGATCAAACTCCAGCCCCTGTGCTCTGCCTAAGCAGGCACTTTAGTCCACTAAGCTATCTGGCCAGCCTTTTGTTTTTGTTTTTTACAGAGATGGTCTTGCTGTGTAGCCCAGGCTAGCCTCAAACTTGCAGCAATCCTCCTGCCTTAGCCTCCTAAGTGCTGGGATAACAGAGTTGAGCCACCATGCCTGGCTTTTATTAAAAAGCTGCACCAGGGACTGAAGCCAGGGCCTCATGCATACTAGGACAGTGATCTACACTGAGCTACACCCACTAGCCCTCTCTAATTTTGTGCTTTGAACCAGCTGTCATTTGAGGCCTTGGCCAGCCTGAACTACATAGTGAGACCCTATCTCAAAAAAACAAAGGAAGATGTATATTCACCTGCAAACTTGCCAAGTTACTAGTGATATACTATAAAATACAGAACATTCTGAATGGCCTCTTTTATCTGTGTGTTCAGAAAAGAAAGTAACAGCCCTTTGTGGCATCTCACCTTGTGTGGCACTGGTGCTGTTCCTCCCAGGTTTCTGGCCTCGCAGCTGATCGCATTGTGTAACATTATCAAGGTTCTGGTTGTGTGGCCTTAGAGGCTAGGATAGCTGTACTGTGGCCAGCAGGAGACAGGTCTTTTGTTTACTTTGGGGTTTTTTTTTGGTGGAACCGGGGATTGAACTCAGGCCCTTGTGCTTGCCAGGGAAGCGCTTATCCTACTGAGCCATCTCCCCGGTCCCAAGGATCCAGGTCTGTTTTAAAATTTTTGTTTTGTTTTTGAGATAGTCTTGCTATGCAGTTCAGGCTGGCCTCAAATTTACAGCGATCCTCCTGCCTCAGTCTCCTAAGTGCTAGGATTCCAGGCATACGCCATGATGTCAATCTAGGTCTTGGGCCCACAAGATAGCTCAGTGTAACACAGGGACCACGGTTCGATCCCCAGCACCACATGCCACACCAGCCCCACCACCAGGGCAGGCTGAGCCAGTTACAGAGTCCAAGCTTAGTGGTGCATGCCTGGAATCCCAGTGCTAGGAGGCTGAAAACAGGATTACTACGAGTCCGAGCTGCATAGCGAGACCCTATACCAACCAAATACATTAAAATAAATAAATAAATGAAAGTAATTTTTTACAGTAGGGGCTGAGGTATAGCCGAGAAGCAGTGCGCTTGTCTGGCGGTGTGAACCCTGGGCTCCACCCCAGCACTGGGGAAAGTTTCCATTTAGTGTTCCAAAGTCTAGGACTCAGGAGCCTCAGGGACAGTCAGAACATTGTGCCACCTTCAGTGTCTCCATGGGACAGCTCAGGGGAGCCCCAGATCCAAGCCTTTCATGGCCATCCCCAGGTCTTCGCCGCTCTTTCATATGCTCCATCCTCCCAGAACCTGCCAGAACTTCTACTCTGCCCTCCTTCTGCAATCTGCCAAGATGTCTGTAACCCCAGGTTTCCTCCCAGAAACCTCCTGCTGTCCTCACCTCTGGGCCCACGCTTTTTTCCAGATGTTCTTGTCTACCCACCACCCCCACCCCAGTACCGGGATTGAGCCCAGGCCTTTTCCAAAAATGACATTCCTAGCGCATTTCATTTGTTGAGACAGGGGCTCGGTAAATTGCTAAATTGCCCACGCAGGGCTTGAACTGGGATCCTCCTGCCCCAGCTTCTCAGAATGGGGGTGGGGGAATTACAGGCGTGTACCACCACCCCCAGCCTGCCCTCCACTCTAACACCTCACTGCATCTGCCGAGTAGGTGGAGGCGCCCACTGTGAAACACTTGTTACTGTAGTGCATGCTCAGCGAGTGCTGTACCACATCCTAGGCGGTACTGGGGGCAACTGGTGACAGATGCAGACTGTCCCTGCCCTATCCATTCATTCGGAAAGGAGTCATCTGTAGAAACGAAAACCAGTGGGTGAAAGTTTGTCCTTGTTTTCCTTTTTTTTTTTTTTTTTTTTTTTAGGCAAGGGCTCACCATGTAGTGCAGGCTGTCCTTAAACTCGCTTGTGTAGCTCAGGCTGGCCTGAAAACTCACCTGCCTCAGTTTCCCAAGTGCTGGGGTTACAGCAGAGCCCCACAAAGCCTGGCAGAGATTTTGTTTTTGTTTTTGTTTTTTTTTTAATGTTTTTGGTACAAGATCTCACTACACAGCTTGGACTCATAGTGATCCCCTTACTTGCAGCCACCTTACTGGCTTGCGCCACCGGTGGCTGGCTCAGCGTGCCCGGGGGCGAGCAGGCGCAGAGTGTGCTACCCAGATGGAACCCGGCCCCTGCGCTTGCCTAAGCAGGTGCTCAGCCGGCTGAGCTATCTCGCCAGGCCTCTGGCGGGCCTATCTGAAGAGTACCAGTTCCTCCTAGCAGAGACGAAATCATGAAGGGGAGGATAACTTCTCAGCAGCTCAGTGGTGAGGTAGCCTCACAGTAAGGGGACCCTGGCCTCACGCCTTTGGGTGACAGACGCGCTCCTGTGCAGTCCCTGCTGGAGACGTGCGGTAACGTAACTGTAACTAATCCCGCGCAAACCCAGAAGCCCGGCTGTGGGACAGTCTACAAAAACAACTCACCTGGAGTTGGTAAAAGTGTCAGTGTTAGGACTATATCTGTGGTGCGTGTGCTTGCTGTGTTTTCAAGAAGTATGAGAGAAAAATGACCGGAGAGAACAGAGTCGCAACGCAGGAGGTGTGAGCAGGGCAAGGTGGCTGCAGTGAGGAGACTGAGAAACCCAGCGGCAGCACCCGAGACCAACACGGACGAGCCAGCCCTGAGCTAGGGCGTCTCCCCACACCCGACAGGCCCAGCCCGCGCATGCGCTGGCGACACCAGGCTCAAGGTCAGTTGTGCCTGCCCTCTGGGCATCGCAGGGTCCCTTGTGCTTGCAGGACCCAGCTTCTTCAAAGCACCCCGTATTCCCTGAGCACTTCTCATTTTTTCATTTCCTTATTTCTGCCCTGTTACGGTTTTCTCTAGTTGTCCCTGCAAAGCCTCATGCAGGCATGGGGCTGCTTCTGGAGTTTGTGACTGATTATTGTGGGTGTGGGTGCTGCATCTGCCCTGGGCAGGTGATTTGCATTACAGTGTAAGGAGGGGAGAGAGGCTGGCTAGCTGCCTGAGCTGCTGCCACTCCCCTTTGCTCTGTGCTCTGCTAACACCATGAAAGGTTGCTCTCTGCCCTGTGCCACTCTGCCTTAAAGCCAGCTGAGTATGGACTGAAAGCTCCAGTAACTGTGAGCTAAATAAACCTTTCCTTCCTTCATTTTGGGTGTCGGGTGTTTGTTCCAGCAATGAGAAGAGTAAACTGAGACATGCCCCAATAAACGGTTCTCTTTCACATGCACCACTTGTCTGGACCAGTTCCTAGATCAGGACAAATAGCCTACAAATGCAGCGGCCCCTGCCTACCTGCCAAGGGGGGTGCACCCCCTATGACTTCTGTTGGTGTTTTGGATAAGGGTCTCACATGGGAGCCCAGGGATTGCGCCACCATGCCTGGGACGTGGGTTTTGGCTGCAAAGGACAAGATTGGAACAATCGGCAAAATCTGAATAGATGATACTGTTTTGTGTTTTTGAAATAGGCTCTCACTATGTAGCTCAGGCTGCCCTTGAACTCTCTACATCACCCAGGCTGACCTCAAACTCACAGCAGTCTTCCTGCCTCAGCCTCCCAAATCTGGGGATTACAGGCATATACCACACTTGGCCAGCTGGGGTGAAAGAGTCCGAAATCTATTTCTGCCGTGTATTAATGTGTGACCCATAGCAGGCTACTAAACAGTTTTGGCCTTCTGCTCTTCATCTGAGAAACAGGAATTTACTTCAGAGGACTTGTGTGAAGAACAGATTAAAAAAAATATGCACCCAACAAGTGTAGGTACACACAATGGCCAGTGTTAATTACTACACTTACTACACACGGAGATCGGGGCTATACATGCCCATAATCCTGGCACTCCAGGAGGCTGAGACAGGAAGATCACAAGTTCCGGCCCATGTTGCTCAAAACAACATTTGATGAAATAGTGAAATTTAGAAGCCGGGTCTTAGCTCAACGGTGTAAGTGCCTGCCTGGCAAGCATAAGGACCCTGGTTCGATCTCCAGTACCACATGCCACTGAAACTGGGCATGGTGGCACATGCCTGTGGTCCCAGTGCTGGGGAGGCTGAGACTGTAGTATCATTACAAGTCTGAGCTGTGTGTTGAGACCTTGTACCAAATAATAAATAAATATTTTTTTAACAAATGGTGAAACTTGGTCTCAGATAAAAAATTACGGGCTGGGGGTGCAGTTCCGTGTGAAGATTCCCAATCCCAGCACCTGATCATGGCTCTGGTGCAGTGGGACTAGCTTGTTAGGGTACCTAATGGTGCACATCCCAGCCAGCCCCCGACCTAAGCTCTCCCACCGTCATCCTGCCACCTCTGCCTTAGAGTTCACCTCCATTTACAGATGGGGAGAATAAAGCTGTCACATGATTTGGCCAAGATCTCATCTGCTAGGAGGTTGTGGAGTTAGGACTAAAAGCTAGAAGACTTAAATGGAATAACAAGTGATTTCCAGAGAACTATGGGAGAGAGGTTTCCTTTTCTTTGTGCTACAAGAGTGCATCACCCAGACCAGGGATTTAGCTCAGCAGTGCAGTGGCCTGCTTATTAGCAAGTGTGAGGTTGTGAGTTAAATTCCCAGCAACCACTCCCCGAAAAAGCACCACCATCCTCAGCTGAGATTTTATTTTATACACCTTTTAAAAAATCTATTTGAATGTTTTTACCATGTCCATGTATTTTTCAGTTTTAACTACTAATCTCATGATCATCCAACACCCCCACCTCCACCCCTAAAATAGTGGCTAGCAAACACAGACTTTAACTTTTTAAAAAAATCATGTTCCTGGCTGGGTATGATTTACACACCTGTAACCCCAGCACTGGGAAAACTGAGACAGGAGGCTTGTCACAAGTTTGAGGCCAGCCTGGGCTACATATTGAGTTCAAGGCCAGCCCTGACTACGTAGCAATACCCTGTCTCAAAATAAATAAATAAATAAAAGGGCCAGGGAGATGGCTCAGAAGAATAAGCGCTCCCCTGGCAAACGCAAAGGTCTGAGTTCAATCCCCGGTTCCGCAAAAAAAAAAAAAGAACAAAAAAAAATCAATCAATCAGGTCTTCAAACTCCTCTAATATTTGTCTCAACAGCTCGAAAACTTCTTAAAGGTCTAGACAGCAAACATTTTTATGCTTTTCAGGACAAGAGGCAAAACTGAGGGTGCTATGTTGGGACTTGATAACCATCTGAAATGGAACACAAAAACCATTCTCACTCCCATATGGCTGGCAGACCTGGTCTGTGGACAGCAGTTGGCAAGGCCTGGCTACCTGCTGAATGTAAACTTTCTTCCTTTCTTGATCATTTGAAAGAATGATGCAAAGCCTTTTTGCTAGAGTGGGCAGTCCTCTCTTCCCGCCTATTGGAGCACCATGAGTCATTAGTGACTTTCCCCATGACGCACTAGCAGGAGCACAGCCGCTGACGCACGATGCTTGCAGATACCTCTGGCTCACCTCCATAGCTGCCTCCCTTCTCTTACTGAGCCACCTCGTTCCTCACCAGCGAACCCCCCGCCCCCCGCAGCTGCCAAGGTCCACAGTGACGAACCACAGCCCAAACCACCACTGCAAATATGTGTTAACAAGAGACATAAGAAAAAAGCAGAACGGAACACAAGAATTCTCACTTTAGAATAATGCCAAATTTAATTTGTAAAGTCTTGCAGTTTATGTATAAGATTACATTGGTTTTCTTAAAGGAAACATTACAATGAGTAGAAAGAAAAATGCAACATAAATAGTCAAAACATTTTTGACTCTTAAGGTTACAAAAGTAAAAACTGATGAGGACAGCTATGAAATGGTAAATCTGACCATACTCCTGATTTTCGGTTTTTGTTTTTTTTTTGAGTCAAGGTCTTGCTATGTAGCCCAGGCTGCCTTGAACTCACGCAATCCTTTGGCCTCAGCCTCCCAAGTGCCGGGATTACTGGTGTGTGACACCACACCCAGCTAAATATGTTTTTTCAGAAGTGAGCACTCATCAAAGTTAGAGTGGTTGGAAATGCAGTGATGATCTTTTCAGGTTAACAAGTGATGGCAGATCGCATTACAATGAGAGGAACGAAGAACTTTCACCAGACCATACTTGTAAAGGTCACTTAGCATGATAATTTCATGGCTTCAAGATACATACTTAATAACAAGCAAATAAACTGGTAACAGAAACCAAAATGCCTTTCCCTTTAGAATGTGACATTAAAGTGCTGCCTGTGGAGACTTGTAAAGTAAAAAGTGTTTTTAAGTTTCATTTTTATTTTACAAAAATTGACATGATTCAAACCGACATGATTAATTTCTATCCATCTGATAACTGAGATAATTATATAAAAATATGTAAAAATATTCTAGATTCATAATTATCAGATATGCTAATAGCCATATAGCTAGTATAAACTTGATTAAAAAAATAATTTTGTTTCCTTAAAAACAACTTGGTTCATTTAGCAATCTCATATCGGATATCTGTTATCCTAAAGTAGCAAAGAAGTCATAAATAAAAGCTGCGCCGTCTACACTTTGGGCTTCTTGTTCGGTGGGTCCTGAAGGCTGAACTTCGGAATCTCACCAGAAGCAGCATATGGAATTCTCTTTGAAGATACCTTTTTGCCAATGGTCTCAATCTGTAGAGGAAAAAAAAGTAATGAACCACACACAAGTGTGAGAACTATAACACAGCATAGCAAGGTGTGAAATCAAGATCTTTTTCTTTTTCTTTCTTTTTTTTGGCGGAACCGGGGATTGAACTTGGGCCCTTGTGCTTGCCAGGCAAGTGTTCATTCTACTGAGATCTTTTTCACAGGAGAAAAAGTTGCTCAGGTTTTCTGAGTTGCTATGTGAGATCTTGGGTTCTTTTTTATATTTTTTCTAGCTGCATATTTATGTCCAGACACTGTCTCTCTGCCATTCAACAAGGGCCCCGCACGGCGGAGCGGACAACTCTAGGTCCTAAGGTTCTCTGAGCTGCATAGGAAGGCACTGTAGGGGCAAGTTCCAGGGCTCATGCTGCTGCTCGCTCCATTCTCAGCATCACTGTCCTTACACTAAAGCTTGCAGACCAGCTGGCCATGGATTGAAACCTCTGAAACCATGAGCTAAAATAAGCCTCACTCCTTACAGGAAAAGAAAAAGCAGAACAGAAGCCAGGTGTGGAGGATTCTACCTATAATCCCAGCACTTGGGAGGCCAGCCTGGACTCTATAGCAAAATCCTGTCTCAAACGAAAGATAAGAAAAGAGGGGCCGGGGAGATGGCTCAGTGGAATAAGCGTTTCCCTGGCAAGTGCAAGGGCCTGAGTTCAATCCCTGGTTCTGAGAAAAAAAAAAAAAAGAAAGAAAAGAAAAGAAAAGAAGAAACTGCAGAAGTTATAATAGCACAGTTCTTTTCTTTCCCCCATAATTTTACTGAGAGTAGCACAGTTCTTAACAGTGCCAGTTTCACAGTTTGAAAGGCCTCTGATGGAATCTGGACAGAAACTTACTATGTCACCTGAATTCTCTAGGGCTTTCTACTCACCTGCCTCGAAAGCTTGTGCCAAAAATTCCATTTTAGTGTTTAGCATACAACAAGCCAGCATTCAATAAATGATAGTTTTATATTGTAAATTTTTCATATACTAAAAATCATTAATCCTTTTAAAACAAACACTACTTCCTTCATAGTCCATATGGGGATTTTTGGTTTTGTTTTGAGATAGGGTCTCACCCTGTAGTCAGCTGCTCTCAGAGTCCCTATGTAGCCCAGGCTGGCGTCAAACTTGCCGTCTTCCTACCTCTGCCTCACCAGTGCTTGGATTACAAGTATAGACCACTACACCTGGTGAATAGTCCTTAATTTATCTTTCCTCCATAGGAGAGATAAACACACCACTCTGTTATCCTATATTATAATGAAAAAGTACGGGCTGGTGAGATAGCTCAGTGGTCTAAAGCACCTACTTAGAACAAGCTTAGTAAAGCACAGGGACCGCGGTTCAATCCCCCAGCACCACATGCCAGCCAGCCGCGCCCCCTGGTGGGCTGAGCTGACCACACACACACACACACACACACACACAAATAAATAAAAAAATTAAAAAAAAAAAAAAAAAAGTAGTTCCTCTAATCTGTACTACAAAGAAAGGGCTTGGATTTCCACCATATGCTGTTGACCTATTTAGTGACCTACAGACTCCCTTATGGTTGCACCCCTAATTGTCTTTTTTTTTTTTTTTTTGGAGGCCCGAAGTGCCTTTAGGGCATTTCTGGTTTGCTGTGACTATCTGGGTTCGAACCACAGAAGCTTGAGCTTGAGGGCTTTGTTTCGGCAGGCACTTAAACAACTGAGCTATTGGGCAGGCCCCCCCAATTGTCTTTTAAATCTTACAAGAGAAAGTTAACTTTCAGGAAAACTCAAAATCATTATAAATATGTATCTTTCTACATCATTTCCCACTAGATGAGAAGACAGGAAGAAGATGTCTGCTGGAAAAAAAATCTTTAAAAATAAGATTGCTGCCAGATGTGGTAGCACATGCCTGTAATCCCAGCACTCAGGAGGCTGAGGCAGGAGGACTGTTGTGAGTTCAGGGCCAGCCTGTGCTACATAAGCAAGGCCAAGGCCAGCCTGCATAAAGGAGACCCTGCCTCAAAAACAAAATAAAAATAAATAAATAAATCAATGAAATTCCTGAGTGTAAGTCCCAACTGGAAGAAAGAGTCATGCTGGGTGGGACAGAGGGATCTCCCAGGCCCTTGAGGGATGAGTAAGCAGACAAGAAAGTCATCTGGCTCCCATTGTGACTCAGATGAAAAATGAGGGGTGGGAGTGGGCTGGGGAGATGGCGCAGTAGAATAAGCATTTGCCTGGCAAGCGCAAGGGCCTGAGCTTAATTCCCCATTCTGGGAAAAAAAAAAAAAAGAAAGAAAGAAAAGAAAAGAAAAATGGGAAGGGCTGGCGCAATAGCTCAGTGGAGTATGTGCCTGCCTAGGCAAGAGCAAGGACCCGGGCACCAACAGCCCCTCTGGCCTTGCCCTCAAGGCCAAGGCAGGCTGCGCCATCTACTGAGTCTAGGTGAGGTGGTGCACCCTGTAATCCAGTGCTGGGGAGGCTGCAACAAGAGGACCACTATGAGTCCAATCTGCATAGTGAGACCCTGTGCCAAATACAGAGAGGGACAAAGGACCTGTGATAAACTGGTGAGAAGTGAAAGAAGGTCTGGTGGGGGTTTTGGTTTTGGTGGGACTAGAGACTAAACTCAGGGAGGGCTGAGCAACCCTAGCTGGCTTTTTAAAATTTGAGTATAGGGTCTTACTAAATGTGCAGGCTGGCCTCCAGCTTGCACTCCTCCTATCCAAGTACTCAGAGGAGACTACAAGAGCTTTGGCCAGCTAGAACAGTGATGCACACAGCAATGACACTGTGTGACAAGCAGGTGCATCTTGCAGTTTGGAAATACATTCAAGTGACATTCCACTTGGTCATGCATTATAAGGCAAGGTGAGGGTCTCTTTATGACAGGCAACTGACAACTGACACCCTTGGAGATACCATGTGAGGGACACCAACACTAAATTTTGTATCACAGTCTTAGGAGGGGCTGCGTGTGGTGGTGCACACCTGTCATCCCAGCACTTGAGAGGCTGAGGCAAGAGGATCGCTCTAAGTTCAAGACCAAACTGGGCTACACAGTGAGTTCAGGGCCAACCTGAACTACAGAGTGAGACTATCTCTCTCTCAAAAAATAAAACAAAACAAACTTAAGAGGAAATACAATGCAATCCTTATACATATCACAGACACTTCCCAGGGAACTGACACCTTGCCCCAGAGTGACCTTACTGCTAAATGAGAAAATATAAGAATTATAAAACTTGGGAGCCGGGGAGATGGCTCAGTAGAATCAGCACTTCCCTGGCAAGTGCAAAGGTCTAAGTTCAATCCCTGGTTCTGCCAAAAAAAATTATAAAACCTACTCAATGGGTTTAAAAAGAAAACAACCGTCCTATTAATCAGCTTTGAAAAATGTCTCATCCATCTTTGTTTCTCAATAAAAATAAAATTAAAACAAACAATAAAAGCTGGAAGAACAAAAAATAAATAAAAAAGAAGAAGGGGTAGGGAGAAGCGGAGGATATGATCAAAGCATGTTATATACACACGTGAAAATGCCACAATGGAACCCATTACTTAAATGGGTTATAATTATTAAATGGTGATAAAAAATAAAAGAAAAACCAAGCAAATGAGAGAGTCCAGAATCATGAGCACCTGGAAGCCAATGGTCTGCAGCTCACTATGCAGCCCGTCCAGGACGCGGCGCCCGTCGAAGATGAAGGCCGGCTTGAGCATCTTTTTATGAATGCGTTCGTAGTCCAGCTCCTGTGAAGACACATGGCAAGGCCGATCAGAGGACAGCGCACACACACAGTAGCCTCTAGCATCCTCCCCAGTAGTCCCATCTAGCTGTCACCTTACCTTAAACATGTCCCACTCGGTGCAAATGACAACAGCATGGGCCCCATCACATGCCTCGTAGGGATCCTTGGAGATGGTCACAAGTCGGGACACTACGCCACAAGCAGCAACAAAAGCCGGAAACAAGAAAGGAGTTAGGAACGCTCACCAGCCCACCCCTCAGCTGGTCGCTCGAGTGAGGGTGCGATGTCAGCTTAAGCTTACAGAACTAAGGTTAAAGAGAGAGCACGCCAAAGAGATACAGGGTAAAAATATTACAATCAAAGAAGGCTTCTAGAAAACAAGTTGTGGGATCTATAAGCAGGGGGTGCATGAAACTCAAAGCCTTACCTTGGTCATCCTGTGAAACCCCTGGATGGGAAAGATCCACCACTATTTGTTCCCTGGGCACTTTAGGGTCATATATATGGAGGTGTGAGCCTTCATCCATCAGATATTTGCTAATGTAGATACTGGAGGATTCTCTGGAAGGAAACAAATCAGTGTTGCTTTTAATGCCATTATGACCTAATGCCAAAACCAAAGATACAGGTAAGATGCTATTATGCTAAGTAGTGAGAATGGAGTTAATTTTTATTGTTTATTCTTTATGCTGTTTATACATATAACGAGACATTCTCATGCGTTACACACACACATACACACATACACTCCAGAGGTCACGATGACAAGAGGTCTGAAATACTTTAAAGAACTGCTACCTGGTGTCGCCTGTGTCCTTTTTGAATGCAAAGCCCAGAATAGCAATCTTCTTGTCGGTGACCGTGTTGAACAGGCCATCAATGATCCGGGACGCAAACCTCCTCCTCTGATAGTCATTCATGTCTATGACCTGAAATTCATTATTATTTTTATTTTTTTATTTTATTTGGTGGAACCGGGGATTGAACTCAGACCTTTGTGCTTGCCAGGGAAGTGCTTATTCTACTGAGCCATCTCCCCAGGCCCCATATGACCTGAAATTCATACACACTGTGCGATATTCATTAGAAAGGCAGCCCGATACGTTACTCAACAGTTTAAATAAAAACCGAAAGAAACACCCTTATTCTTCCTTGACGCCCTCCTCGTCCTCTATATTTTCACTGGGTTGACTTGCATGCATCGGTCTGCAGTGGATGCAAAGACAGGGCGCACAGCTGAGCTTCCACTCAGGTCTGCAATGGAGCCAGCTAAGCAAAGCCCAGGGGAAACAGCACTGTCCACAGCCACGTCCCTGAGCCCTGGGACAGAAGGCTGTCAGCACCAGCTCAGGGTATTCCCCCAGGCTTCCACTGCCAACCACCAAGTTTGGTATGAGAAGGAAGGCGCAAGGGGAAGAGTGAAGCCACATGCTGCATGAGCCAGCTCCCACGACACAAGAACCACCAAGCACTGCCAACAGAGACTGAGAAGACTTGGCTGAGAAAACAGTCGCATGACAGTCAAACATGCAGAGTTACAGTCCTCACAATACCACCACGATTTCAGTACTCAACAAGGGTTTAACTGAGAAAGTCTCTGAGCAGCAGTCTTTACTCTGTTAAGTGTAGGTGGATGACAGAAGGAACGCACGGAAAGAAACCTTTGCTCAGGCTCTGAGCCAGTTTCAACCTCGAGCACCTGGGAAATGAGGCTGAAGCATCAGAAAAGCACACCGGACACAGTGGTGCTAAGGGACAGAGCTACCAGTGGACTAGGTGAAAGGACAGTACTTCCCTAAGAAGTGAACATTCCTTGGATTCCCTTCCATGTCTATTGCTGAAATCTGAAAAAATATAAACCCAAGAAAAAAATTGGGAAGGACAAACACAATGGTTAGTACATTAAAAAATTACTTAAAATCTCTGTCAATTCCATTATTTAAAAATGGAAAGGTGCCTGGAGCCGGCAAGACAGCTCAGCAGTCTAAAGCGCTTGCTTAGGCTTGCTTAGGCAGGTGCAGGAGAACATACATCATTGCCAGCTTCATACTTAGGGTGGGCTGAGCCAGGACACACACACACAAAGCCAAACCATGCAAGCAGGCGCAGGGGCCAGGGGTTCCATTCCCAGGCCTGCCATGCTGGCCCTGTCCCCGGAGTCTGCTGAGACTGGGCGTGGTGGCACATGCCTGTAATCCCAGCTCTTGGGAGGCTGCAAACAGGCAGATCACTAAGAGTCCTGATCTAGTAGTGAGACACTGAACACACTGTAGACCCTTCCTTAAAATACAAAAAAAAAAAAAAAAAAAAAAAAAAAAAAAAAAAAAAAACCTAAAAATTTTTTAAAAAAGGAAAGGTGGTAGACATGGTAATCTACACCTGTAATCCTAGCACCCAGAAGGCTGAGGCAGGAGAGCTGCCACTGCCTGGGCTACATAGTGAGTTCAAGGTCAGCCTAAATTATATAGTGAGGCTCTCTCTGGAAAAAATCCATCCATCTATCCATAAATGGGAATAATATTAAGTGATGAGGATAAAATGAGACATTGTATTAAGTACCCCAAAGACTTAGCAGGAGAGGGCAAGTATTCAAGACATATTCATTCAATGCTTCCTGTCTGAGAAGGTTTCTCATTTTACCTCTGAGAATCTGAAAAGGACAAAGCAAGTAATGATAGACACAGACCACTTGAGTAAAGATTATAGTGTAGGTTCTTCCTTGATTTTATACCTTTCAGGCTAGAGAAGTATAAATGAGAATAATATTAGCTTTTGATTTTTTTCTGAATAAATTTAGTTATAAAAATAGAAGAAACACTGGTTTGTCAGAAATTTCCACTCCAGGTGATCAGAAATCTAAAAGCTTAGATGTCCAATAATAATAAATCTAGCTGGGGAGACCTCAGTGGCACAGAGCCTACCTGGAAAGAACAAGGTCCTGAGTTCAATTCCCAATATCAAAAACAAGTAATAAACCTAAAACAAGTAAATTGACTGAGTTCCTAGGAATGAATTCCTTCAAAAGCATTTCACCTAGGTGACAGACTTTAATTATAACCTACTCAGCAGTTATTGACTAGAAAGATTAATACCTGCTGCCAGTAACGAGCTACTTCAGGCAAATTCAGAGCCTCACAGAGATAAACCAAATTCAGAACATCTTTTTGGAAGCAGCTCCCACCAAAACCTGGAGGAAAAAAAACAATGTGTTCATATAAGAACCAGAAACCACCCCCTCAAAAAATCCCCCAAAAAACCAGAAACCAAATAATGTGACAAGTTTTACACATGTATATCTGGGAGCCTATACTAAGATTTTAAATAACAAAGCACAGACCTTAGAAAGTTAGTGTGTCTATAAACTGTGTAGAATTTATAGCCAATTAATCAACTCTTTAAGTGATTTCCCAATGATTCTCTAACAAAAAGTTTTATTATGGCTGTACTTTTGACTTTTTTTTTTTTTTTGAGAAAGACTCACTATGTAGTACAAGCTGGCCTCAAATTCAAGGTGATCCCCTTGCCTCAGCCTCCCGAGTGCTGGGATTATGGGTGTGCACCACCATTCCACCATTCTTGGCTTTTTTTTTTTTTCATTCTTTGGCATAAGTGCCATGACAACTCTTACTCTACTGTAGGTGCAGCAAAGTTTCATGGTAAAGGGCCAGAGAGCAAATATTTCAATCATCTATTAAAAAGGTGATATCAGCACTTTCCTACCAGGTTATAAAGAGAAAATGAGATGTATAAAGTGCTGGTACCCAACCTGATGTGCAACATAACTTCAGTAACTAGTAGCTACTTTTGTTACATTATAACTAGAAGAAAATATCAAAAAGAACAGGCTATAAAAGGTCAGGGAATCCAATATTGGGAAATGAAACACAGCTCCAAAAACACTACCAAGCCTGCCCATGGACCATCTGCAAACTATTCGACAAACTATTCACAACATCGTATTAACTTATATCAGAAATGACACTCCAGTCAGTCCTCATGGTATGTGGAAGCCGTGTGCTATAAGTCCCCCGAACAAAAAAATAAATAAATAAAAATAAATAAATCCCCCGAACACTGAGTCCAGGAATACACAAGACCTGCTCCCCAGCAAAATGGGTTAGGCTCCTGCAGGTTTCTGCTCACATTATGGTCAAGAGACAGACTGTGTTTCCTGTGTGCTTCTGCTTAAATATGTCCAATTGAGTGTAATTACTGCTTCACTGATGCGGCCAGGGGTTCTGTAACTCTCGCCTGAATGAAGCGTGGCTTAGACACGGATTGTCTCCCTGAGACAAGGGCTGCCATCTTCTTGCACTTTAGCTCCAGGTTTGGGACCATTCCAAATAGAAAAGTCCATCCCCCAAAGCAGGAAAGTGTGAAAAATGTGGCATTAAAGGCATCGCAGGAAGGCCCTTGGTGACAGTACATGAGCGGGGACACTGAGGCAGGTGACGCCTTGTGCAAGCCCCGCTGGCTCAGACGTGCATCCTCGCCTCTGCTGTGCTGCCAGAGTGCTGACATCGCAGGGCCAGGAGTCAGTAAGTCTCAGCAGGGACACAAGCGCACCTATGTGAGGACTGAGTACCTTTCACCAGTAAAATATTTATGAGTGGCATAAACAAACACTAGCAACCCGCTTAAACAAGTTAACTTGAGTCATTTCCTACATAGTTTCCCAAAATACTGAACAATGTTCATGCCACTAACAGTGAGAACACCATTCTCTGAAACACAGAGCTGCATTCACGTACTGATCAACCAGTCACCAAGAGACAGCTGATTGCCGCCTCGCTTTGTCTCTGCTAGGATGAGGACCTTTCTTGTTGTTTTTATTTCCTTTTTTTTTTCATGTTGTTGTTTTCTTAAGGATAAGTGAAAAGATTTCTTAAAAGTTAGGAAGCAGAATGAAGCCGCTTCACGTAGGAGAGCATCCATTTACCAACACTGGCTTTCAGGAACTTATTTCCGATTCTCTGGTCCATTCCAATGGCTGTTGCTACCTCTTCCACATCCGCTCCGGTCGCTTCACACAGGGCACTTATGGAGTTAATACTGCTGATTCTCTGGGCAAGAAAAGCATTTGCTGCCTTTAAAAAAAACAGAGGGAGAAGTATGAGAGACCAATTTTGTGTATTACTTTTGTATTTCAATAGTTAATGCAAATTATTGAAGAGATATAAGAAAAATACTGATCAAGATAGTGGATGGTCTGGTAAAGGAGTGCGTTTTTAATCAGGAAGATAGATGGGTGTGGTGGACCAATCAGGAGGATGAGGCAAGAGGATCACAAATTCAAGGCCACCCTGGGTTGAACAGTGACCTCAAGGCCAGCCTGTAGTACACAGTGAGATCCTATATTAAAAAACAATAATAGGGGGCTGGTGAGATGGCTCAGTGGTCTAAAGCACCTACTTGGAACGAGCTTAGCTAAAGCACAGGGACCGCTGTTCCGTCCCCAGCACCACATGCCAGCCAGCCCCGCCCCCTGGGGGGCTGAGCTGGCCACACACACACACACACACACACACACACACACACAAAACCAATAATAGGGGGGCCAAGGAGGTGGCTCAGTAGAATAAGTGCTTCCCTGGCAAGTGCAAGGACCTGAGTTCAAGCCCCAGTTCTGCAAAAAAAAAAAAAAAAGATTTAAAATAGCCATTGTTCAAAAAAACAAAAACAAATACAAAAAATGGGGCCAGGGAGTTGGCTCAGTGGAATAAGCCCTTCCCTGGCAAGTGCAAGGGTCTGAGATCAATCCCCGGTTCCACAAAAAAGAAAAAAAAAAAAAAAAGCCATTGTTAAATAAATAAGATGAAATCACAAATAAAATAAAAATTAGGAAGATGAGGACTAAGAGGAAATTAAAAGCAGAGAAAGAGTGATAAAAGACAAAATTATGATGATGGGCCTGGGGAGCACACACCTCTAATTCTAGTGCTGAGGAAGAATTACTTTTGAGTTCAAGGCTATACAATGAGCCCCTGTCTCAAAAATCAAAAAAGAAGAGCCAGCCAGATTGCTCAGTGGACTAAAGCACCTGCTTAGGCAGAGCGCAGCAGGGGCGGTTCAATCCCTGAGACTGGGCATGGTGCCACGTGCCTGTAATCCCAGCACTTGGGAGACTGAAAACCGGAGAATCACTACAAGTCCAATCTACATAATGAGACCCTGTACAAAAAAAAAAAAAAAAAAAAAAATCAAAGAACAAAACAAAAAGACAATTTCAAGTCCAACCTGGGCAATTTAGCAAAACTGTCTCAGAATAAAAAAAATAAAAAAAGACTGAGAATATGAAATAGCATAAATATACAGCTACTTTCTCTTATTTCAATGAAAGAAGATTTTGAACTAATAGTGTGGAGTCAAGATACCATGTCTGCACCTTGTACTAGGAATAACTACTACAAAGACAATAATATCCAATGTATTAATTATTGCAACTGTACTATTAACCTTTTTTATGGCAATAAATGGTATGTCATGACAAGAAGTACGTATTTAGAAGACCAGGATGGCAAGCACTCCAAGCGTGACCCCTCTATTACACATTGTCATTCTGTTAACCTGTTTTGAAGCTATCTTATTGCTACTTCTTTCTCAATAAAATTATTAAAATAAAAGAGATAGCTCAGTACAAAAGTTCTGGGTTCGATCCCCAGTGTCACAAAACATATGCTTATAAGACAGACTTCTGAGGAACACGTGGCTTTAAATTTAGTGGAAAGCATGCAGAGCGTGATGAGCCCGTCCACACCTTTAGTCCCAATCACCCCGAGGCCGAGACAAGACACTTGAGTCCTGGAGCTCAAGGCCAGCCTGGACGACACAGGCAGACCCGCACAGAACGCAGGGTTGGAGCACGGACTCACCAGTTTGGAGAGCTCCGACGACCAGGTATTGGTGGTGAGGATCTTCTCCCTGGGCACCCAGTGCTCGTACACGGCGCACAGGGCGCGCACCTCCTTCTGGCCCTCCGGGGTCTCGTCGCCGCCGATGAGCACGCGGTCCGGGCTCTTCAGGTCCTTGATGGCCGTTCCCTCGGCCAGGAACTCGGGGTTGGACAGCACCTGGAGCCCCAGGCACAGAAGAAAGCGGAAGCTGAACTCGCGAAGGGCAACTTGAAGACGCCAGCAGTCACATAACAAGAGCCGGCTGCTAGCGCCTCATATTTTTATACCTGCAAATTCAAGTCGGGTTTTGTGTTCGCATCGAATATACGACGAATACTTTCTGCCGCCCGCACCGGAACGGTGCTCTTCTCAGTCACGATTTTGTACCCGTTGGAGTTCTTTACGATGCGTCTGGCACACGCTTCGATATACTTGAGGTCAGCGGCCCGGCCTTTGCCCATGCCGTAGGTTTTGGTCGGTGTGTTCACCTGAGGAGAAGGGTGGGCAGGCAGGTGGGCGGGCGTGAGGGGCTGGGCTGCCGGCCCCGCACTGGATCTTACCTAGTCCAGGGTGAACCGAAGAGCCCTGCACCTCACCCTCTCACTGCCACGGAAAGACACGCTTTACAAGCAACCAGCCTAATCCATCCGGGGAATGCAGTCATGAACGTTCTGCTAAGAAGCTACTGCACATGTGACAGGCACCAAGGCACAAGGTTCCAGGCTGACCCCTGGAGATTCATTCATTTTATTTATTTATTTACCACCAAGCCCAGCCTCAATCACCATCTCAGCGCACGGGCGGGTGAAGGCAGGGCCTGCACGGCACACCAGGGATCAAACCCAGGCAGCTGCACTCTGGCTAAGAGCGAGCTATCTGGCCAGCCCTTAGCCCTGGGGATTTAAATGAACAAGAGCTCCCTTAAAGGAGTTCATAGTCTAAAGTGAAATGTAAGTTTTCTTTTTATTTATTGCATGTAATATATTATAGTTTTTAAAAATAAAATGTTAAATTCTTTGTCTTTTTCCAAGACAGTCTCACTATGTAGCTCAGCTGGCCTTGAACCTGTGATCTTCCTTCCTGCCCCAGTCTCCCAAATCCTGAGATTAAACCACCATGCCTGGCTTAAACGCTTTCCTTATACCCTGTTTTTACGACCTCATATCAACATCTAAGACAATGTCTGCAGTATCATTTCACAGATGCCTTGTTGTTTCATTAAACTCAGACATTCCCTGAGATCCTCAGGACGTAGACTACTACGGGCACAGACTTTCAAATGGAAGTAAAAACAAATCATAGCCCAGAGTTGAAGCATTTAGTCTGGGCTCTGAGGCCATATCTTCCCTCAGGAAGTGGGCTGCCTCTGCCTCTATGTCTACGACCTCATTGGAAAGTGAGGATAAGAAGCTCTTTGAAAACTAACACATGGGCGCTACACTGCTGGCAAAAATGAGTGCTCTAAAAAGCCTAACCCTTAGACTTTTGGAAACAGGAGGGCCAGCCAAATAGTTCAGTGGATTAAAAGCAGGCACAGGGGCGGGGGGGGGGGGGGGGGGGGGGTGTTTCAATCCCCAGGGTACACTGGCCCCAAAAATTGAGACTGGGTGTGGTGGCGTGCGCCTGTAATCCCAGCTCTTGGGAGGCTGTAAACAGGCAGATTACTACAAGTCTGATCTAGTAGTGAGATCCTGAACACCCTGTAGACCCTTCCATAAAATACAAAAAAAAAAAAGAAAAAGAAAAGAAAAGAAAGAAAATAGGAATAAATTTTGAACAAGTAGTAAAAGCAGCATTAACTCCTCTTTGTGAATTTATGACCTAATGGAAAACTCAAGAAAGGAGTCGAACAAAACAAAGCTTAAAATCTTGAGGCATGAAAAGCAGTTAGAAAAAGTTACTTAATGTATTTTTATTTATTTATTTTGACACAGGGTCTTGATGTGTAGTTCAGGTTGCCTTGAACTATGTATGCAGCCCAGGCTTGATCAATTTGCAAGGATCCTCCGGCCTCAACCTCCTGAGTGCTGGGATTACAGGCATATGCCCCTCTGTGGTGGTTGATACATTGTGTCAATTTGAGATATCCAAAGCTTGGCTGGATCATTCCACACCCCAAGCGATGGGAGGATGCTCTAGAGTGACTCAGCACAACAAGGGTATATAAAGGAGGTGAGGAAGGCTTCTGCACTCCACTTCCTGTGAGGAGTTCTGATCTTTGCTGTGGATCTTCATGGTGGAGCACCAGTTTTTGCACTCAGTATAGAAGGAAGAGAGAGAGTATGTGTCCTTTTTTTTCCTTTATGTATTTAATTCATGGTCTGCAGGGTCTCACTACACAGATCAGACTCACAGTGATACTTCTGTTTTCAGCCTCCCAAGCACTGGGATTACAGGTGTGTGCCACCACACCCAGCCCCAGCATGGCATGCTGGAGATCGAACCCTGGTCCCTACGTCTGCCTAAGCAAATGCTTTAATCTGCTGAGCTATCTAGCTGGCCCTGAGATAGTCTTGCTAGATGCCGCAGCTGCTGCTCCTCCTCTGATCTTTGTTTTCTGCCACCATGAACTGCTGTCTTGGGGCCAGTGGAGTATGGACTGAAACCTCCACTAACTGTGAGCTAAATAAACCTTTCCTTCCTTCACTTTGGGTATTGGGTATTTTGTCCCAGCAACAAGTAAAAAGTAACCAAGACAACCTTGAAAGGCTATGATTTCTAAAACATACTTTATTTTGAGAACTGAATCAAATTTCCCCATAAGGTGGACATCAAATCTAGCCATTGAATTTAACTCAGTTCTCATCCAATGCAATTTGTGACCAGAACCTGGAAAGAATTTAGATCACGGAGTGAGTACAACGGCAAATTCAGAAGATGCCACCCAAAGGAAAAAGTGGTTCTGGAAAAGAGGGAGCAGCCTCTCAAGAGTGATAGTGCTGACAAGAAGGCTCAGGGCCGCAAAAGTGGTGGCAACGCAGTAAAGGTCTGACACATTCTATGTGAAAAACACAGCAAAATTATGGAAGCCATGGAAAAGTAAAAGTCAAGGATGAGATTCAGAATATAGTGAAGATAAAGCCAGGCAAGGGGGTGACTTGGGTTGGATGGTGAGAGGCTCCATGGTAGGACCATTTCAAGAAGCAGCATTTGCCTTGCCTGTGAGTAGAATGGATAAGCCTGTGTTTACAGACCCACCAAGGGCCAGGGAGATGGCTCAGTAGAATAAGTACTTCCCTGGCAAGCGCAAGGGCCTGGGTTCAATCCCTGGTTACACCAAAAAAAAAAAAAAAAGAACATACAAGGGCCAGGGAGATGATTCAGTTGAATAATCGCTTGCCTGGCAAGTGTAAGGGCCTGAGTTCAATCCCTGGTTCCACAAAAAAAAAAGAAAGAACATACAGATTCACCAATTAAGACAAAGTTTGGATATCATATTATTATGCTTCCGGGGCTGGGGAGATGGCTCAGTGGAATAAGCACTTCCCTGGCAAGCGCAAGAGCCTGAGTTCAATCCCCGGTTCTGAAAAAATAAATAAATAAATAAATAAATAAAAAACACCAAAACCATATTATTATGGTTCAATGACTTGAAATTATATACCCAATCTGATGATTATAGGGTTTGCTCAACTGCTAAACAAAGTGACCATCAAAACAATTGGACAAGCCAGGCATGTTGGCACATGCCTGTAATCCCAGCACTTAGGAGGCTGAGGCAGGAGGATCACTATGAATTTGAGGCCTGGCTGGGATACAAAATGAGTCCAAGGTCAGCTTGAGCTACATAGTAACACCTTATCTCAAAAAGACCAAAAAATAAATTGATTACATTGGACATTTCTGTACTAAGCCATGGAGTGGTTTAATAGCAAGTGAAAGTACAATGAAGATACATAAGAATACACTTAGATACACTTAGACAGAATACCCTTAGGCAGATAAGAATACACTACACTTCAAGTAGCAATGAAACTACTTACAGAAATAAATACCAGGTCCGCTTCTTTGATGGCATCATCAATATTGGTAGAAAAAAACAGATTTTTTCCTCGACAGGATTCTACTACTTCTTTTAGTCCTGGCTAAGAAGAAAAAACAAAAAGGAGTTGTATGCAAGATATGAACTAATGCATAGTATTTGTTAAAAGGAAAGGTTATGTTGTAATTAAAAGAACTAGATTTGCTCTTAAATAAACCCATCATAGAAAAGACAAGGATCCTATACAAACACTTCAAGTTCATCTTCTATGTCATCATGCAATAAAGCAAACTTTTTTTTTTTTTAATGTATTTGGTACAGTGTGTCACGACACAGCTTGGGCTCATAATCATCCTTCTGTTTTCAGCCTCCCCAGCACTAGGATGACAGATGTGCGCCACCACGTCCAGTCTAATAAAGCAAACTTGAACTTGCACAACGAGCCATAACTCTAAAACATTTTGTCACTGTTTACTGTGTACCTGATTGTTTCATAAAAGTTAGCCATTAACCCTTATCAATTCACTTTCCAAAACTCAAGGCCTTCTGACTTCAAGTACGCAGATTTTGCACTGTCATTATGACTACACAGTTTCACTCTCAATTCAGGCTACATACTGGCCATGAAGGTCAATACTTTAACAACACATACATGTGTAAGTCTTACTGTAAGAAACCCTTGAGGTGCTAGGGATATAGCTCAGCGGCACAGTGCCTGTCTGGCACGCACAAGGTCATGAGTTTGATTTCTGGTGCCCAAAAAAAGGAAGAAACAAACCAACCAACCCTTGTTGAAGGCTGGGCATGGTGGCACACACCTGTACTCCTCAGCACTTGGAAGGCTGAGGCAAGGATTGCCATGAGTTCGAGGCCAGCCTGGGGTATATAGCAAGACCATGGCTCAGATAAAGATTTACATAAATCTTTATTTATATAAAGATAATATACATACATATATATAGATTATATAGTCAAAAAGTAAATCTATAATAAATATTTATATAAAGATTATATATATGTGTATATATGTGTGTGTGTATATGTATAGTCAAAAAGTAAAAAAAGTTCTCAATGTCTTTCTCTTTTTCTTTTTTTGTCCCTTTGTCTCTCTTTTTATCTTTTGACTGAAAGTCCAAGGATGGAAAACAATACTCCATGCCACAGAAATCTGGGAAAAAAGCAGCTATTCTACTTGCAGACAAAGTGGATTTTCAAAGAGAGACAAAGACGGTCACTCCATTCTCATAAAGAGAACAATCAAACAGCAGGAGAATAACCATAATTACCATAATTATATATGCACCAAACACTAGGGCACCCAATTACACAAAACAAATATTAATGGGCATGAAAAATCACATAAGGGGCCGGCCAAATGGCTCAGGAGACTGAAGCATCAGCCCTAGTGTGCCATGCCGACCCCGGACCCACCCCTGGGGTACACTGAGAAGGTGACTGAGACTGGGCATGGCAGTGCGCACCTGTAATCCCAGCACTTGGGAGGCTGAAAAACAGGAGGATCACTACAAGTCCGATCTGTGTGGCGAGACCTTGTATTAAAAAAAAAAACCAACCCCAAAATGGGCAACTGAAATTAGAATAGACACTTCTCACATGAAGTAGAAACAGCAGATAAATATATGAACAAAGGTTCAACATCACTGTTCATTCAAGAGATGTAAATTAAAACAATACTGAGATTCCATCTCATTCAAGAAAGAATGGCTTCTATGAAGAAATCAACCAATAACAAACGCTGGTGGGGCTGTGGAGAAAAAGGAAGACTTCTCCATTGTTGGTAGGAGTACAGACTGGTACAAGCACTATGGAAATCAGTGTGGAGATGCCTCAAACAACTAGGACTAGAGGTTCCATTCGACCCAGTTATTCCCTTTCTTGGTATCTTTCCAAAATAATTAAAAGCATCACACCACAGCGATACATGCAAACCCATGTTTATAGCAACACAGTCTATAATAGCAAAATCTTTTTTTTTTTTTTTTTTTGTGGAACTGGGGATTGAACTCAGGTCCTTGTGCTTGCCAGGGAAGCGCTTATTCCACTGAGCCATCTCCCTGGCCCATAGCAAAATCTTGGAAACAGTTCAAATGCACATCAAAAGATTTTTTTTAAATACATAATGGAGTACTACTCTGCCATAATTAAGTATATGCTTGAGATATTTCTAGCTAAACAAATGCCCCAAAACCATACTCTTAAGTGAAATCAAGCACACACATATGTAAATATCACATTGTTTCTCTGGTATGGGAAACCAAAAGTGCAAAATATATAATAGATATGTGGAAATAGGAACAAAATGTTCAAATGAGAAGGGGAACAAGGGAGGGGAAAGGAGGAAAGGAAGGAAGAGACAAGGAGAAAACACAGAAAGAAAAAATGTAAACAAGCTTTCATAAATAAGGAGGGGAAAGCTAAGTATGGTAGTACTATGTCCCTATAGTCCCAGCACTCGGGAGGCTGAGTCTGGAGGATTGCTGCTTCAGCCCAGTCTTGGGTACACAGTGAATTCAAGGCCAACTTCAACTATACAGCAAGACCTTGTCTCAAAAAAAAGAAGAGGGAAGAATAGTCGAAGTGAAGGGCAAGGAATGGAGAAATAAAGAGGAAGCAAGATACATCATGCACAGGTACAAATTCCCTATGATGCATGTGATAGATAGATAGATAGATAGATAGATAGATAGATAGATAGATAGATAGGTAGGTAGATAGATAGATAGATAGATAGATAGATTCAAATGCACATGAAAAAAGAAATAAAAAAGACTGAGAAAAAAAACCCACAAAAGCTCAAGAATAAAGCATTGTTTAATATGCTTACCTCATAAATAGGAAGGGTAGGAGAATTCCACGCATTGATTCTTAACTCATTGACATCGACAACCGTCACCTTGATTTCCGGGCACATCTGAGCAATGACACTGCAGGTGGGTCCCCCCACGTAGCCCGCACCGATGCAACAGATCTTCTTAATTTCAAACATGACTGCACTAGAAGGGAAAGAGTAACAGTGCTCTGGTACTGGAACAGGAAACTGCAAGAAATCATACGGCATACTCATCCCAATTCATAAAAACTGCCAAAGTGGAAGGAATTTGGAAAGTTTTCCTGGTTTTACCCATACGATTTATGAAAATAATGCTTGCAAAAACTAACATTTCTGCTGGATTATCAGGCCTGCACTCAGCCACACAGCAGATGGAGAAAAGAGTAATGGATATTATTAGAGAAGAGCTGCGTAACACACAGTGACCCAGTCTTCACAAAGTCAAGGAGCAAAAGAAGTCTTTCTTTGGGCCTCTAATAAACGAATATGAGCAGGCTGCAGGCAGACCCAGCCCTGTGGGAAGCCGAGACAGGAGGACTGAATATTCAAGACCAGCCTGGGCAATTTAGCAAGGCCCCTCTTCAATTAAACAAGAAAGTTTAAAAGAGTTGAAATGTACCTCAGTGGGAAGGCGTGGGTTCTGCCGCAGTGTCCCATTTGAACTGAGATCCCAATCCCTGCTGTGGTTCTGAATACTGAGCACAGGCTGTGGGGCCAGGAAGTGTTCAGCAAGGCCACCCCCTCACCCATGGATTGGTGCCTACTATAACCCAGCTTCCAGCTGCAGTTTCCATCACCTGCTTCTCCAGGGATGACACAGCAGAAAAGCCCTTGCCGAATGCCAGCCCTTGCACCTTAGATCGCTCTCACCCAGACCCATGAGCTAAGAAGGAGACTGAAGCCCAGGGCCTTGGACATGCCAGGCAAGCCTTTCCAATGCCAGGCTGGAGCTGGGCACTGGGTGAAAGCAGATGACCACCTCACAGAAGCGGAGCATTTCCTTGCTCAAGGGTATAGATGGCTGTGCTGCCCAGCTAGACGCTCCAGACTTGCTCTCATAGTCCATTTGAGAAAGTCTTTATACGTTGCCCAGACTGGCCTCAACTAAGTAATCCTCCTGCCTCAGCCGCGTAAACAGCTGGGGTTACAGGCATAGACCATTATACTCTGCTCCCACCTTTTTTTTTTTTTTTTAA